TGCGCCCCCCCGGGAAAAATAAAAAATAAAAAATAAATGAGCTCTCTTCCTTCACTGCTCAAAACCCACTCTCTCAATGGCTTCCCATCTTACTTTGAGCAAAAACTCAAGTTCTCAAATGTTCTATAAGGTTATCAACTCCCACCTTGCTTTCTTCTTCCTCCCTCTCCCTGACCCTGATCGCTGCAGCCATGCAGGGCTCTTTGCTCTCTGGGTACTTGGTTTCAGACTTACGCTAGGCTTATGCCTTCTACACGCCCTACCCACTCTCTGCCTTAAAAGCTCTTCTTCTAATTCTTGCCCCGAGATATCTTGGGGCTCACCTGTCACCTGCTCAGGTCTTTGTTTTCTCCTCCAGTCTACCCTCCCTGCACCCAGGTGTTTGTCTGGTTTATTTCCCCCATTACAACCCCAATATTTAAACAACTGCCTGATAATGCAGTTAACAGCTCTTATATGTGGAAGGACTGAATGGTTATGCTTGCAGAACCAAGGAATGGGTGAGACATGAACAAGTCAAGCACTGAGATAAGCTTATAAAGATGACAGCCCTCTTCCATTTGGCATGCTGGAAAGTAGGAGTTCTTAACGCAGAGGAAAGAAGTATGGAGACAGGAGTGAGTCCAGCTGCCACAAGAGGATCCACCCACATTCCATCTTGCCGTAGAGTCAATGTTTGCAGACCTCAATGTCCATCAGTGCTCCCAAGAAAGGCCTGGCAGAGGTAGTTGTTACCAGTTCAAATCATAAATGGTGCTGTGGATCAAAATGATATTTCTAAGGTCTTTCAGACTTCAAAGGCCTAAACTTTTATATTATGGTTCATTCTCAAATATGTCATTTTTAAGCATGTGGATCATGCCCAGGTTTCTTAACACATGACAAAATATATTCGGAAAAATGCTTCTGAAAAAAGAATATTCTATATGCTGCAAAACTCAATCCTTTCTTTCCTTTTCTTTACCTAGTGTTAAGGAAAGTAGCCGCTAGCTACGAACCAGACACTCTTCATGGGCTTGACAGGGTTCATCCTACTTAGCTGTCTCAATGAGTTGAGATTATGAAGTTCAATTTATATGTAGAGAAGTAACTCCTCCAAGGTGACACTGCTAATGAGTGAGAGAGTTAAGATGTGACCCCAGGCAGGCTGGCCCCAGAACCCAGGGTTTCTAGGTTTATGTCACCTCTGTATAGTGCCTCTTGGTTCTGCCTACCCAATACCAATGCCAGCTTGGGTCAACAAGACCTTACATGATGAATGCCATACATTTATTCACAGAAGGCATAAAAATAGCTCATTCATCAATTCATTTAGGTAGTTAAGGAGTTAAAAGGCCCAATAAAAAGATTACCTGATATTCGTATTAAAAGATTAGCAAAAAATATACAGAGCAAACAACCATTTTTCTTTTTCTTTTCTTTTTTTTTTTTTTTTGAGACGGAGTTTCGCTCTTGTTACCCAGGCTGGAGTGCAATGGCGCGATCTCGGCTCACCGCAACCTCCGCCTCCTGGGTTCAGGCAATTCTCCTGCCTCAGCCTCCTGAGTAGCTGGGATTATAGGCACGCGCCACCATGCCCAGCTAATTTTTTGTATTTTTAGTAGAGACGGGGTTTCACCATGTTGACCATGATGGTCTCGATCTCTTGACCTCGTGATCCACCCACCTCGGCCTCCCAAAGTGCTGGGATTACAGGCTTGAGCCACCGCGCCCGGCAGCAAACAACCATTTTTCTTAAAATGAAAGTCAAGAGAGAACAGTAAGAATAGACAAAATGCAATATTCTTTGAAAAAATTCTTTTCAAAAGTAAATATTAAGAAGCCTGCTTGAAAAACAAGTAAACAAAGTCTTATAAATATAGCTACTCATAAAAAGTGGTTTCTTTTGGAAACATTCAACTGTGTACAAGTCAGCCATAACAAGTCATGTTAACATAGTTCTTCAAATCCTCATATTTTGAGGAGGAAACATTACAAAAGAAAAACAAGATTCTATAAATATTTCAGAGGCTCTAACCAGGAGTGGGACATTCAGTGAATGTAAATAATCTGACATTCAATGCATGCGTTCTGATAAAGAGGGATCACAGAATGGAGGAAATTTTAGCTAACAAAGTACTTCCAAAAATATTAATTTCCACTACCCCAGCTTTTCAAAAGACCACATGGTAATAAAAAGGGACTTGGTAAGGCTAAAAATCAAACATTTTCAAGAAATATCCTAAGTCATATACATACATATAAATGGCATTGTAAATACATGAATTCATCTCTTGGAACTAAATACTGGATTCCATAAGGAACGTATTACTTACAAACAAAATCTTGTGATAAGCAAAGTTATTCTTCTGTGCTCTCTCCTATAACTTTTAAATAGGTAGGAGGAAATGCAGATTTAATTTAGCTTTTATTTGTATTTTTTTTTTTTTTTTGAGACAGGGTCTCACTCCATCACCCAAGCTGGAGTGCAGTGGCACGATCTCAGCTCACTGCGATCTCAGCTCACTGCGATCTCAGCTCACTGCAATCTCCACCCACAGTCTCAAGTGATCCTCTAACCTCAGCCTCCTGAGTAGCTGGAACCACAGGAGCACACTATCATGTTTTTGGTTTGGTGGTTTTTGTATTTTGTTGGTAGAAGGGGTGGAGGGGGTCTCACTGTGTTGCCCAGGCAGGTCTCCAACTCTTGAGCTCAAGCAATCTACCCACCTCAGCCTCCCAAAGTGCTGGGATTACAGGTGTGAGCCACTGCACCCAGCCTACTGTAGCCTCTTTTTAAGAGTTTTGTTTCGTTTTTACTCTTTGGAGAACTTCTTTAAAGAGGTGTCAACCATCAACCTTGTGCCTTGGAGCAGCTTCCCAGTGCTGTAAGTACCACCTGACCAGCCCAGCCAAAGCCCAAATCCAGTTCAGCCTCCAAACTGCCATCACCATTCTTAGGTGGTCACCACTGAACCCATCCCACATTCAAATCCTTCTTCCTTCTATCCAGTCCCTCCCTCATGCCAATTCCAGTATCTCAGTCCTTCTAGGTTAATAGGGTGTCTCCCAAACAAGAAGTTTATCGGATAAGCTACCCTTTGCTTAAGGGTAAAAGCCAGTGAAGACTTGCCCCACTCTCTCCTTCCTCTCTACCCTCAAACCAGGCTCCCATCCTCTCAGGCCAACATCAGTAATGACCAGTAGAACGAAGTCAATGGTTGGAAGCTGAGGCTGGTATGGGCCAGCTACATGGCAGCCAGCAGAGGAGCCGACCTGGAGCTGTGGCCCAACACAGGGCACTGGCTGTGTGGGCAGCTGCCCACCCTGCCACCTTAGTGCCTCTTGGTTCTGCTTCAGCATAGGCTGAGAATGGTCTGTTCCTCTCTTGTTCTTTCAACCCATTCAAGTATGGGCCACCCACCACAAGCTGCAACACTGCAAACACAGAATAATGAGTCTCCAGAACTGGAGATGCAGCCCCAGACACAGGCCTAGGACTGCAGACCTTGCAACAACTCAACTAATCCCTGGGGTCTGGTCTGAGCCCTAGGTAAAAATGAGAGGTCTGGACTCACAGTTCTTAAGGCTATTTCCATTCTCACAATTAAGATCCAAGATTCAGCTGAGATCCTCAGGACATCCCAGCCTAAAGTCATTGGAGAATGTGCACAGCTTGTATAATTTTGGCAATTTTAACTGCTGTGTGGAATCCAAGTTATGGCTGGGTATGGGGTTGGTGTTGCAGGCTGCTTTACTGCTTAAAGATTACTAATACATTACAGAAAAATGAATGTTTTTTCCACTTCAAGATCTCTTGATTTAAGGATTTGGCATTAAGTCATTTAAAACGACAGGAAACAAAATGGTAACACAGCTAGGCACAAGCAGCAAATCTCTTTTATTTTTGGAAATGAATTCCTTCAATGAAATACATACTGTGGATGCTATGTGAGAAACAGTTCCGGTCAGCTGGGAGTCTAACACCGAGTATTACAGCCATTCCTTTGATTTTTCTCCCTCCCTCATATTTGGGGATTTTTAAACAAATGAAAGGCGGCATTATTTCAGCTTAAGGCACAGGCATAAGTCACATAAGAACAAAGAAGGTTTTATTATCACATTAAGCACTGAGGAGGAAATGTGCTTACTGATAACTAATTTAGTGTTCTAGGCTATTAGGTTAGTATTTGCTTCCTGCAATCTTCTAGGCCAATATTTACGATTTAGATCTTGATGGAGGTAGAAATGTTCAGTTAGTGAGAAGGTCATCAAGGAGGGAAAGGAATTTTTAAAAAGCAGAACAAAGTACACAGATAGGGAGAAAGGCACCCTCTGCGCCTCAGTGGTCTATAGAACATTTGCCCTCTCTGCCTGTATAACGTGATTTACCATTAACCACATTTCACTCCAGCAGCAGCGTGCTAGCTCCTGACAAAAACTCCTTTTTGAAAGCCTGGAGGAAAAAAAAAAATCCACATACACAAAAGAATGTGAGACATATTGCCACAGGCCAGTGTCTTGGGCTTTTTGCCTAAGAGGTTTGCTTTCAGCAAGGAGAGAGGGGGAAAAAAAAACACTCTAACAACAACAGCTTGTACAGTACAATGAACAGCCTCCCTGCTTGTTGGCAGACGTTCCCAACTAACAGTTCCAGTGGCAGTGCCTCGAGCCCATTCAAGAATTCCATTTCATAGAAAAGGAAGTGTTTCAGATCTACTCATTTGATCTTTCAGCATGTGCAAATGCACCTGCCAAACACCTAGTCTGACAGCCCACACAGCCGTCTCCCCAGTTCCCTCTTGTCCGTCTTCACCAGTCATCATATGGGTTATTTCAGACTTGGACTTAGGTGAGATGAAAAGTACATAAAAATCACACCAAACGTCGCTACTGCTGCTGCATGAGCTCAGGTTGGACGTACGGATGGAATTCCCTTCTCCCCACGCCAACTTCCCTGTCACTTTTTTCCTGGAGCAGGTCAGAGGGTTTTGTTTTGTTTTCAGCTTCCAAAGGCTTACCTCGAGGTGGCTTCCTCCCCTCCCTTGGCATGGCTGCCCCCCACGGCCTGGTCCTTGCCGCTGGGGTGGTAGGCAGTTAGCACCACTCCCTGGGAACTGGAGAGCCAGCTCATGGTGAGAGAAGGGGCATAATTTCTGCGCTCCTGAGACAGAGACCGGGAAAGAAGTTCCTGTCTCGCCCGGCAACTCGCTCATTAGCATTGGCCGGCTCTTCCCCCCAGGCTGGAGATCCGCACGGGGAGGGGCGGGGCCGGCCCCGGGGAGGGGCGGGGCCTGTCCCGGGAAGGGCTTCCCGCCGCTCCAATTAGAAGCCGCCACTCGCAGCATTGTTCAAACTCGGGGCAATTCCACTCTGGGCGGCTTTGGTTAAAGGAGGTGACGGCTGGAAGGGACGGGTTGCAGCCACCCCCGAGTTAGTCCGATCTAATAGATTAAACTGCCAGTACGTATATTCAGCTCTTCTCTGTCACTCCCCACCGTCTTGTTTAGGAAATCATGAGTGACTGCAGAGCCTTTTTCTTCCCTCCGCAACTCCTCTTTCCGTCTGATAATTTCTGCTACTTCATGTAACATGAGTAAGAGCATTTCTTAACCCCTTCACGTTCAGCCTTAAAACGCACCACGGTAAAAACCAACGAACTCCGCGGCAAAACTGTGCCATCCAGCCGACGAGAAAGGCTTGACCTCTTGCTTCTGGTTAGAAATGCCCTCATGAAAATTATTGTGTGTCCTGGGATGTCGTCTTCTTTCACACAAAAGCCAATGTCAAATGTACATCTTGTTTTATCAAAATACTCTTAAGTGCCAAAAAGGGACAGATCTACCAAAGCTCTGTTAACTGTTATTGCTGAGAACAGAAGCAGTCCCTACTATTTGTTGAGCACCTACTGTATACCAGGCTCTTGTGACACTTGTTTCACACGTATTATCTCATTCCATTCAGTTCTCTCGCACACACACAAATACACACACACCCTACAAGATTGATATCACTATCATCTAAGGTATACATAACACAAGGAAAGTAAGGCTGGGGAATGAGTTAAGTAACTTCACTAAGATAACACGGTTGCTAGTGCCAGAAGCTGGATCTGAACAGAATTCTAGGCTGAATTCCCTTTTTTTCCCCACCAGTATGCTGTTCTTCGTTTTGCAGATTAAGAAACAACTTCAAAAGTGGTCAGTAAACACAAAAGACAGCTCTGTTCTTTCTCCCCCTACCTCTTCCACTTAAAAAAAAAAATTGCTTTGTTTTTGAAACAGGGTCATACTCTGTCAGTCACCCAGGTTGGAGCACAGTAGTGATTATAACTCACTGCAGCCTTGACCTCCTGGGCTCAAGAAATCCTCCAGCCTCAGCCTCCCCAGTAGCTAGGACTACAGGCATGCACCACCATACCCAGCTATTTTTTTTTTTTTTTTTTCATGTTTTATGGAGAGGGAGGTCTCACTGTGCTGCTCAGGCTGGTCTCAAACTCCTGGGCTCAAGCAGTCCTCTTTCCTCAGCCTCCCAAAGTGCTGAGATTACAAGCAGAGCTACCACGCACAGCTTCTACTCTTTTCAACATACCCAGTAGTCTGAAGGGTTTTTTTAGATTTTTAGGATTCATCCAACTATCTAGAATTCCCCATGAACAAGCTTTCAATTCCGTCAATACATAAACTTGTTGCTTATACCTTTTCATTATTTAAAACAGTCATGGGAAATAATTTGTTCATCCTCACATACTCTCGAAGCACATGAAATTTATTCTTGAATCTTCTTTAATTTACAAAAGTCTTCCTTAAGAGAAATTTCTATCTTCCTCCCCTCTCCTTGCACAATGAATTGTGCAACCTTCCCATTTCCACATCCATAGGAATTCACTTGCTGTTTCCTTTTTATCCCCATGACCTCAACCACGCCCGGATCCTATACTCCAGCCTTAGCTCCAATCTTACAACAGCCCTTTTAGCTCATCTCCTTGTCACCTCCTTTAAATTGCTTTGACATTATGACCACACACCAGCATAGCCCTCATGAACCCTCTCCTTGCTTAAAAATCTTCATTGGCTCTTCACTGCTAACAGAGCCCATTCCAGGCTTTTGAACAGATCACTGGGCATTCCTGCTGCCTTATTCATGTAAGTCTTTTCATCTGCCAAACATAGTTCCTTCCGGTCCGACTCTCATTCCTTTCTCTTCTGACAGCTAACTTAATTTTTGTACCTACTTGGGCCTTCAGTAAACACCGAAGGGAGGAAAAACTGAAAGAATTTAAGAATCCTTTAAAATTCTACTAAATTTTATATGAAAATTGGTCATGTTAGATAAGCAGTTCCCATGCACACACCAGTGCTAACCTATGATGAAATGTTCACCAGTTCAGGCAAAATTAAAACTCTAGAGAGAGTAATGCAAAAATTAAAGTAAATTAGAGTATATGTGTTTTGTCTTTTCAACATCCTTGGGTGGAAAAAAAAATATTAATACCCAGATCATCCATCCCTTTTTTTTTTTTTTTTTAATGTAGCTGCTCTGAAATGTAAACATATGTGAATCACTATCTTATCTTTTGGAAATGCTTTTCTTCTTCATTTGCCTCTCCACCCAACCCTTTTTCCCCACTTACTTCCCTCTACCTTCCTTTTTACTGTCTTCCTTTTTTCAATTTTCCCTTCTGCCTTTGCTATGTCTATTTAGCCTGTCAATGTCAACCACAACCCCCTGGCAGCCATGGGCACTGTGCCCCTATGTGACAGTTTGTGATGAAGATTTTGTCCAGTTATAGCCAACACAATGATTTAGTTATATTTTTGCCTAATTATGATCTTTTCACTTGTTTAATAAAAAAATCACAATGTACAGGTTGCAATGTAATTATTTTACAAGGTCGAGATACTATTTGGGTTTGCAATAACCACAGTTTTTAATTTTTATGAGGGAGAAAATCAAATGTGATACAAACTGATTTACATAGCTTAGTACATAAAATTTGAATCCTACTTCAGCACTCAAGTACTTGAAAATCCTCTGAGCTTTTTCTCCTTTCCTCCCGCCACGCCCTGCTGAAGCTGGTCTAAGCCTATTGCCTATCACAGGCAGAGAGCTGGTAGGACTGTGGCCTGGTGTGCATGGCCTCAGATACCTGCTCAAGTAGATTAAAATTTTTTTCAGAATTTTCCCATCCCATCAAGGAAGCAAATCTAACTACCAGTATGGTCCCTTAAAAAAGCTGTTCTTGGCCGGGCGCGGTGGCTCACGCCTGTAATCCGAGCACTTTGGGAGGCCGAGGTGGGTGGATCGCGAGGTCAAGAGATCGAGACCATCCTGGTCAACATGGTGAAACCCCGTCTCTACTAAAAATACAGAAAATTAGCTGGGCATGGTGGCACGTGCCTGTAATCCCAGCTACTCAGGAGGCTGAGGCAGGAGAATTGCCTGAACCCAGGAGGCGGAGGTTGCGGTGAGCCGAGATCGCGCCATTGCACTCCAGCCTGGGTAACGAGAGCGAAACTCTGCCTCAAAAAAAAAAAAAAAAAAAAAAAAAAAAAGCTGTTCTTATTTCACACTGTAAGCTGTACTAAGGTTTAGCTCATGTCCATCCCTTATACCATTATCGCTCTTTTGCAGAGAGACAAATATTATGAAAAAAGACAAAACACTTTTTACTCCCTTCCGCAACAATTTTAAACACACACTGAGAACCTCATGTCCTTGAAGATGTTAATATTCCAAGCTATTGAGTGCATGCCAAACACTTTCCTGTTATGAAACATCTTACAAAGTAATTAACAACATCAAGACAGTTTAAACATTCATTTCATTCATTCTCTTTAAATGGGGTGTACTGGAGACAGAGGAGGGAAAAGGAAGCTGTAATTTATGTACCCAAATATGTTGTTAAAAATGGGGTGAAGATGGTACTGCAGCCTCTGACAATTTGATACCCATATTCAAAAACAATGAAAAAAATTTTCTTCAGTTCAGTGCTAGTGGTAGGAAAGAGTTTATCAGCTGGTTTTCATATATTGATTAGTAAATATGGAATCATATTTGAATGGTGCCATGCAATGCAACCAACATATACTTTGTCAAATTTTTCCTCAATTGGTCTAGGTCTCTTTAAAAAAGAATTAACGAAGGAGAGTTATGTACACACAGTCTCTATGTTATGACAAAAATCCATATAGGTACAAAAGCCATGTGAAAAATGACTTTTCAAATGGCAAAATTAAACCCAATTTTCAAGATTATGTCATAATAAAAACTTGAATACATTAATCATCGATGGTGAAGTTGAAGTTTTACATAGGTGATAAAGCCTAGATGTATAAAGTAGCATTCACTAATGAAGAGGAAGTGTTCTTAACATCCCTCGCCTGATGTTTTATCAGGACCTCCTATGAATAACTCTTGTCAGCCTACAAAGTTAGCTACTTCTGTGCTAGGGTACTATGACTGAAAATTATCCCAAACTATTTCCTTGGAAATTACAGGGTACTAGGGTACTATGTGCTAGGGTACTGTGACCGAAAATTATTCCGTATACAGAATCTCAAACTATTTTCTTGGAAATTACACTCATGGTTATTATTTCTGCCCCTGGAACAACAAGAAATAACCCTTTTCCCCTTCTCTAGACTGCTTCTAAAAATGTCTGCATTATTCTCAAAGTTATTTTCTTAACTGCTCCTCCTGGGAGAAAATACTAGCCATGCTTGGGATAATTTGTAACTGCTATTGCCAGAGGCTAATTTAGGCTTTTCGGCAATAGTTTAGAAAAGATGTTTCTTACAAAAAGTTTATTACCAATAAATTACAACAGCTAATACTGAGTGTTTACTCTTTGCTAGACATGGTACACATGGTCTATCTTTAATCATCCCGACAACCACAAGGGATAGAAATCAGACTTACACTCACTTTAGAGATGAGGAATTTGAGGTCATCCAGTTAGCAGGTGGCAGAACCAGGACATGTAACCCTGGGTTTATGTGATCTTTGAGCCTGAACCTTTAAGCATTATAAAGGTTACAGATGCCCTAGAGTTGACATTATTTTATTTCTGAAAAGAATCATGTGAATAACAAAGTAAAATAATCTACAGAAAACCTAAGGTCCTTAATCAAATGGAATATTGATATAAATGCAATGCTATGGAGATTTATATTCAATTCTTTTCTGGTACTTTGAAATTTGTTTTTTATGTCAAATAACAGAGGTAGTGTGGCATAATATATATATCACTCTAAAAGGTCAT